TCATGCCGGTACAGCAATCCGAGGGTGAGGGCGTTTAGCGATGATGAGCCGACGGACCATTGTCGACATGGTCGGCACAACATCTGCCACTTGGCGCTTCTCAACTGTTTTACCAACCCACGATGTTTCTCACCAAGCCCCTTAACCCGGACTTGGCATTACCTTCGGCAAATCGGCGTCCATGGCATCTTCAACTCGCTTTTAGCGGCGGTGTCTTGACACCGAGAGAAGAGCAACAGCAGAGTCCCGTCCTGAACGCCTCCTCGCTCCATGAGGTCGTCGTCGACATGACGGGAAATTGCACTGTTCTTTCTCAGCAACGCTTGCCTTCAACGGTCGCGCAACAACAAACTGCCACTGGCTGTTTGGTCTCTGAGCCGAGAGCAGAGCATATCAGGGGCGTTACGTACTAATGCATAATTTGGCTTGGTTTTTTTCATTTCTCCTTTAAGCCAAAGGCGCATTGCGTGTCATTGGAACTCTCCACTTTGGTCTCCAGCTCCGGCGGCCACTTTTCAAAACGGGCGGTTTGGTCAGGAGGATACTCCAGTACATGGCGGAGTATAGGTACGGAAGGAAAGGAGCATGGATGGATATTGGAAAGGGCATGACCCGTCCGCACATACACTGTAACCACCGAAACCCAGGGTGGTCGGTCTTTTGTTCCGGCAAACAGCTCAGCAACCTTTCGACTCCCGCTCTCGTCTCGTGCCATTTGCGCCGCGAGACCTGGGAAGATGTCGATGGGCTTGACGGTCGGAAGCTGCGGATGATAGCCGACAACATTGGGCAAGGGAGGGACAGAAAAGTTGCACACGAGTCTTGAGATTGAAGCGTTGACTCGTTGGTTGATTTTGGTTTCGGTTTGGCCTCGCTCTTTCATAGCGACGGGGGATCAAGGTCACGTTTGACCAGGGCGTTGCGGATTGGACTCGGCTTAGCTACGGCAGCCCGATTCATCAGATGATGGATCCCTTTGATTTGGTCTCCAACAGCGCTCATTGCCTACTGAGGCATGGATTGGCCGGGGAGAATATATTATGATACCATACATATTACTGATTGTCCTTTGCCAGTGAGTGATGTCTGATGAATCGTTGTTTCCCAATCTTGATCCTGTCATCCATCCTTTGTGTGTCAATTTGTTTCCACCAACTACCAACCAAACCTGACTGCAATGCCCAATGTCGTTCCTGCCTGCTCTTTTCGCTTCCTTGCTCTGCTTTCGTTGCAAGATGCCTCGTGGCCGTAATGGACCCGACGCACAACAGTGCAGGCAGCGTTCTGCTAGACAAGACGGCTCGGCACTGACAGGTCAGAACCGCTTTCGCCCACAGACCCCCTGCGCGCCGCACGTGTGAGAACACGAACGGCAGAAACGAGCAGCGCTGCGTCTTCCCCGGAAGAAAGGGGGATTCGCTTATTGTCAGGTCAGGCAGGGGCCTCCTCAACAGGAAACAGAACGTGCACAGGACGTCTGGTTTCTCTCTGAACCTCCATCCAGTCCTTGGGCCCGCCCGCACCTCGGGTCGAATGCTCATGTCTCTCCTCGAAGCCTACCCTGCCAAGACGACAGACTTTCTTGACGGCCTACCGCCATCAAGTGTTCCGTGGGGTGGGGAGGTGTAATAGAGAGAGTTTCGAGGCAGGCAGATCATTCCCCGAGATGAAATCCTTTCGAAAAGAAAAGACGGAAGAAAAATACACCTTGACATGTCCATACACCTCGACATGTCCGCAGGGAGAGAGAGAGAGAGCAAGAGAGAGAGAGAGATGGAGGGGTCAAATCAAGGCTTGGTGGCAGCGGCGGTGGCGGTGGTGGTGTCCTTGGCCGCCTCGGCAATGGCCTGGGCGGCCTGGGTGTTCTTCTGGTACTTGTAGACGGTCCAGTCGAAGACGTAGTCGTACTGGAAGCCCTCACGGACGAAGAGGTCGCGGAACAGCTTGCGCAGGTAGCTGTAGTCGGGCTTGTCGTCGAAGCGCAGCGAGCGCGTGTAGTTGAGGTAGATGGCGAACTCGTGCGGCAGGCCGCGGCAGAGAATCTCGGTCGGCGTCGTCATCTTCTTCTCCATGATGCGGTCGTATTTCTGCTTCTTCGTCGCCGCCTTGAGGCCTTGCCAGGGGAGCGAGCCGCGGCTGAAGTAGAGGAGCACGTAGCCGAGGGATTCCATGTCATCGCGGCGGGCTTGCTCTGTACGCGGAGGGACGTTAGCTGGGCGGCTCGGGGGAGATGGAGGGCGTATATAGGGAGAGTAGGCTGCTTGCTGCTTGCTGGCTTGTGGTAGAATGGAAGGAGATGGTGGTGGGGGTGAGGAAGAGTGCGAGGTGGTATATAACGTACCGACGCCGAGGTGTGTATTGATGGAGGCGTAGCGCGCGGTGCCGGTCAGGTTCTTATTCTCCCGATAGGGGATATGGAAATGCGTCTTCGGATCGCGGTACTTCTTGGCGAGGCCGAAATCAATAGCGTTCACCTGGTTCCCGCGCTTCCCGATGCCCATGAGGAAGTTATCCGGCTTGATGTCGCGGTGGAGGAACGACTTGGCGTGCACGTACTCGATCCGCGACAGCAGCTGGTCGGCGAGCAGCAGCACCGTCTTGAGCGAGAACTTGCGGTTGCAAAAGTTGAAGAGGTCCTCGAGGCTGGGGCCCAGCAGGTCGTAGACCATGGCATTGTAGTCGCTCTCGACGCCAAAGTACCGCACAAACGGGATGCCGACGCCGCCGGCGAGCGACTTGTAGACCCTGGCCTCGTACTCGAGCTGAGGGTGTTTCGCCTTGACGCTCTCGAGCTTGATGGCGATCTCCTCGCCCGAGATGATGTTGGTGCCGAGGTAGACGTCGCCGAAGGAGCCGGAGCCGATCTTGCGGCCGATGCGATATTTGTTGCCGACGCGGAGGTCCTGGGGCGCGGTCATGTTAGCGGTCGTCATGGGAGGGAGCAGCAGGCGGCGGCAGGGGCGGGTTCGAATCGGCTTCTCTGCACTGGTCGTCGTCGTTGTCGTCGTTGTCGTCGTCGTCGTTGTGTTGATGGGAGGAAAAGAGCGCGCTGCGTGAGGTGTGCCTTTGCCTTTCGTTGCCGACACCGTGAGCCCTGCGCATCGCCATGCGGGGCTTTATCGTAATTTGGGGTAGTAGTGGGCGATGGACGTACCATGGTTATTGAGTCAGGCCACTGGAAAGTAGTTACAAGTTGTGTCGCTGAGGGAGGGAGGCGTATCGCCGTCGTTCAGAAATCCCGAATGCAGTTTCGTTTGCCGTTTTCGGGTTTTGTTCTCCCCCTTTCCTTGGTGTTGGACTATGAAAGAGAGATGTACTGGATCCAAACGGTGAGGATGATTTAGGGAGGCTTTAGGTTTTGCAGGCGAAGAAAGCTCGAGCACTCTAGAGGCGCGTGTGACTTTTTCGAGGCGGTGGCAACGCAATCTGACACAGGATCTTTGTCCGCGAGTCGGTCAGCCTTCGTTGGGATATAGGGGCGGTATCTGTTGAAACTAGTCGCCCGGTATTCGGAGGTGCCAAACCGTTGGGCCGCGGAAATTCGTAACCGTTATCCTGAAGGTAGGGAGTATGGATGAATGTCGGGGGGGATGGTGCGGAATGGTAATTTCCAGTGTTAAAGCGTCCGAGATGCCAATCAGAACGGGCCCATGTCACAATGCTGACAGTGTCGCAGAATGACAGTGTCGCAGAGTGATAGTGTCGCAGAATGACAAGATGTCGAGAGTGACTTTTCGATGGGATGGTAGCAATGTCGAGATGGATCATTCCGAATGTCATGTCCATGTCATGTCAATGCCATGTCAAGGCCATGCCAAGGCCATGTCAATCGCGGGTCAGGTCAGGTGTCCTGCCTCGGGTGTCAATTGGGTGTCAAGGTGTCTTTGGCAGGGCGCAGCCTCTGTTTGCCTCGCGCCTCGCGCCGGGGCGCGGCCTCTGAATCTGCCGAGTGTGCGCTGGCATTTGCCGAAGTGCATTGATGGACGGCCCGAGCTTGTCCAGCGTACCCCTTTTATTAACAGTGAAGGCGCTTTTCTGACGGCATCTGCATCAAGCGACCTGGCCTGTGAAAGACGCAGAGCCCCATCCAGTTTGAGGGGCATCCGAATGCAGGTAAAATGATGCTTGACGAAGAGTTGTCGAGCTTACCTTTGCACATTCGAGCCATGACAACAAAAGCCAAGTGGATGCAGGGGCCCTTGAAAATATGGCCAGGGCAACCTGAGCCCACTTCTACCACGAATGGACAATGAATTGACTTTCCGAGCTGACTCTGATGTCACAATGGAATCGCCCCGACAGGGCTGACGAAAGTGCACAACCGACTGGAGGCTGTTGTATGAGCATGTTCTCAGCTACTTTCTTTCACGGGGAACCAGATCACAGGCTCCGCCACAACCCACATGGGAAAAGGCAGGCCGAAGCCGCGGGCGTGCATCGAGTTCTCCACAACCACTCAGTTTGACCTGCCTTGTGGTGTAGAACAGGACCGCAGCATTCTGGCTTGATGAGATCGCGAAGACGTCACCATAAGCCATGTTTGAAAGGGGAAGATGGTTGACACTTTGTATTCTGAGATATCGGCCCAAGATCGAAATGAAGTCTTGGAATTTGTAAAGAGTGTTGAGGGCTACTACCTCATATATCGGAACCCTTTATGCGACAGAACTCAACATGCAAGTTACCGGTGGCCGAGATTTACACCTGAAAATCGGTTCACATGCCCTCTCGCTTTACTCATTTGACCCAATCGCAGAGCCTCGTCACCTGGTCTTCCTGGTAGATCTTGCCTTATTCCTGTACTCTGAGCAGGGCTCTCGACATCATGGACATGCATTCGCAAAATGACAAAGCCTCTGAAACGTTTGAATAGGGGCGTCACATGCCAGTCAGTCCTTTCTCCTCCATAAATGGCGAGGAAACGCCAGAGGTCTGGTAGCAGAAACACTTCATGGTGACCCTCCTGCTCCGTGGTCTTTGTTAGCGCTGCACTCCGACCAAACAAGTCAAATATAGGTGTCGGATTTGGTTATTTGGTCCGCCGAAATCGACGGATTTAGTTATTTGGTCCTATTTGCAAATATTTAACTTATTTAGTTAGTAATAAAGCTATCACGATAATCATTAGCCTACCTAAGACCTAGATTCCGTGGTGTTGAGACTATTCGCCGCTATCGAGCCCTAATATAACCCTCCTAACGCCCTATGCGCGCGGATGTAAGCTAATTGGATGATATATATAGGGTTTTCTTAATGTAAACTAGAAGAAGTTTTAATAGCTTAGTTAATTAGGACCTCTAGTACCCTACTAAAGGCTATAGGTTTAAATCCTACTATTAGCGTTATCGTATTATTAATAAGAGAGTCCCTCTTATTAATAGTACGACTATTTTTATTAATCGGATAGGCCTTTATATAAGTCCTAGGGCTCGGAATAGCTATATTCCGGGCCTAAATACGTATTTAAACGTTTACTAAATATCTAAATATCGAAATATTATAGATTTAGTTATTTAATTATAGGAAATTGGTCTATTTATTTAGTTATTTGATGATTTAACTTATTATATTTAATCGGGGTGCATCGCTGGTCCTTGTGCTCCCCCGTGGGCCTCAAGAGACGATGCAAGAAAGTTACTCTTACACGTATAATTCTTGATCTTCCTGAATGGGTCCACAGCCCATTGTGACTCGTCTTCATCGAAGCTATCGAGCGCAAAAGACGAACACACCCCGGGTAGAGGCTGCCCTCATCGTCAAAGAATTTCCATTCCCCATCGACAACGGCCCGGATATCTACCCGGGCCTGCTTTCCCTCGTCTGATGAAAGGGGCATTTCACCCCGGAGTCTCTCCCAATGACGACGGTCTCCGTATGAGATGCGATGCATACTCCAGTCATGGCGATGACAGGAGCAGAGAACCGAGGAGTGAAATGCCCGCGGCCCATGCGATCTCTATGTCAGGAGGCACTTGCAGAGCCAAAGCAGGGGTGGCCGAGGGGCTAGTTTGGGGGCTTGAGACCACAGGGCGACGGAGGGCTAGATCTCAGACGTTTACCTACCCCCTGCCTGAGATTAATTGCAGATATCCTCAGCGGAAGACGTATTCAACCTGCTCATTTCGCCGGTTTGATAGAAGTATAGATCCTAGGCCTATGACTTACGACTCTTGACCGTTGCGCGTGGAGTGTGTATGACGATGCGATAACAACAAACAACGAAATAAACCCTGGTGTGTTCACAAAGTGAGCAGAGCCAGCCCTGCGATCCACGCATCATTCACAACATCACCTCTGGAAGTTAGCGTCGACAAGTGTTCATTGCCGCTACCGTCCATTGATTTAGCCGTTACTGTTAACTCCCAATCAGGCTGGTACTATTCTGCATGCAGGTTGAACGGAATGTCACAGTACCCTCCAGACTAGATCCACATCTCCATCCCAAAGGTCGAGAAGCTGCCTAATCCCAATGACCATAACCGATATCTGGAGCAGCCCAAAGTTCTTCCGAGGCTGGCCAGACCGACTGCTTGTTCTTCTTCTTAGTCGTGTCCAGCTTCTCCCCTCGATCTGTTGCTTCCTTGAACTCCATGGTCTCCTCGTCCTTCACATAGCCATGACAGGCCACGTGTGTTCCCTTCCGCATATTCTCATCGTCCTTGTAGCAGAGTGTGATGTGCGGGCCTTTCGGATCCTTTTGGTAGACGCCGTTGATGGAAGTCGTGCCGTGCAGGTCGGAGCTGGTTCGTCCGATTAGCAAAATGCTTCGGCATGGAGATCCGCTCTGATAATAGTGGCAACGATAACCCATACCGAATGAAGACTGCTCGAGGATAAAGCTTTTTTGCTCGCGCTGTCTGGTAAGCCAAGGCGACAAGCTTTCGCATGTATTCCTCCGTTTCTGGGCGGTTCCTTATATGGAAGTAGTACTTTACGACGTTGATTGTAGAACCGGACATATTTGATGGTTAGGCAGTGGAAAGTGAGCGAGGCTCTCGTAAATGCGAGACCTCATGCCAAAGATTTTCGATTTGGTCTCTCTATTTATGAATTCACGTCATGTACCGTTGGTTCCAGTACTCATTCTTCATGTATCTTCCGAGGCCATGTCAATCGTTGCTCAGAGCGCAACGCCATATGATGCGCAGCCGTGACGACTTAGTAAGTGGCCATTATTAGTCAATTTTAAACCACGTCCAGCGGCTACGGTCTCATGTTGCCCGGTACTCACCCATATTGATAGGGTGAGGAATCGGCAAAGGTTCTTAACTTCCAAAAGCGGGCTGTGCGCAGTGACCAACCTTTGTGGAGTCACCCATGATTGGCAGGAATTTAATTGGTCCCAAGGGCGGTTCCGCTGGCGGCGTCTACAGCTTCTACCATCCGCGGCTACCTAAGGTCAGCTTGCCTTGCTACACCCTACAACGCAAACCCGCGAGAAGCACAGCCTCGTGCCGCATTTCCCCTGCCGACCTTCACCACATCTATTTCAGGCGCGGAAATGAGATACACGCGCTGTTCTTTCCTGGCAAAGCGGTTTTCTTCACAGCTGCCGTGCTGTCGCGCCCAAATTGTTCCCCTGCATCGCGGATTGCAATTGGCAACAATGTCAACAAACCGCCCTCGCTACAAACACATTGACGATGTTGAAAGGCTCGACTATTACGAGAAAGGTGGATACCACCCTCTCCAAACGGGGGACTATCTTCAAAAGCGGTACAGAATCGTGCACAAGTTGGGATTTGGGAGCTACTCGACTATTTGGTTAGTCAGGGATGAACAGCTTTCCAAGTACGTCGCCATTAAAGTCGGCACCGCTTCATCCAACCACAAGGAGATCGACATCCTAAGCCGCCTTGCCAACCATCCTGCTGGAGACAAGAGCCTCGGTACATCCCTGATCCCACCCGTACTCGATCGCTTCAACGTTCATGGGCCAAATGGAACCCATCCCTGCTTCGTCACCGTACCAGCCATGTGCAGTCTTGCCGATGCGATCGCGGCTGGCGACCACGAACCATTCCAGACCAGTGTTGCCAGGTCTCTTGCTGCACAACTCGCCATGGCTGTGGCACATATGCACAGCGTGGGCTTTGTTCACGGCGGTGAGTGATTTAAGCTGGCGGTGCCGCATGAACAAGCTTCGTGCTGACCTTCTCTAGATCTTCACTTTGGAAACCTCCTCCTTCAACTACCAGCAGGGTTAGATGACTTGACAGTCCAGCAGCTCTACGATCAGTATGACATGCCAGAGCCCGAGCCTGTTGTGCCGGAAGAGGGTCAGCCTCTCTCATTGCCGGGTGTCCCTGCACACGTGTATGCTCCGATTTGGATGGGAAAGCCAAGTAATGAGATCTCGCTCGGTGAATCGAAACTCTTTCTCGCCGACTTTGGGACAGCGTTTTGCCCAGACGAGGAACCAAGATTCGAGTCGTATACCCCTCTTGAAATCAGACCACCCGAGGCTAGATTTGAACCTACACAGCCATTGACCTTCGCATCGGACGCTTGGAGTCTTGGCTGCATGATATGGGCAATCCTCGGCGTGAAACCGTTTCTTGGCGCATGGTTGTTTGGGCCAGAGAGCGCCGCCGCAGCTCAAATTGATGCCCTAGGTCCTATGCCATATGGGTGGTGGGAGAAGTGGCAAGCCAAAACAAAGACAGAGTCGTTTGATGGGAATGGGAGACCAAAGCCAGGTAGAGAGGTATGGACATTCGAACAACGGTTCGAAGACAGTATACAGCAACCGCGGAGAGAGGGTGGTATGGAGGTGATTGCTGATGACGAAAGGGAAGCTATTTTTGAGATGATCAAGGGCATGCTCAAGTTTTGTCCTTGCGATCGCATGACTGTTCAGCAGGTATTGGAAACAGAGTGGATGAGGAAATGGGCTATCCCGGGAGCTGAAAAGTCATGGCAAACGCGGGATACTTTTTTTTGACAAATTCAACTATTTCAGTGCAAGGCTACTACGGTGTTCAGGGGCCAGAAGGTGATCATCGAGAAGTATTCTAGCCACGCTCAGCACCCTTGAACTTTTGTCATGGGGATCAATGTCATCCTGCAATTATCTTCTCGTAGTGTCTTTTTAAAACCCTCAAACTTGGAGACTCGGTTATTGGAAAATCCATGATCCCCTTCTATCCATCAGGATAAGCTCGCGTGGTTCGAAGCCCCCAAAGTAGCCTGAGCCCTCCCGTTCCTTGGCGCAGCAGGCGTCTCAGGACAACTTGTATGCATGCAACGCGATCAAATTCGTGTGTTGACCCTATACATGTCGTTTTTGTTTCAATCGGATAACTTTGGCTGACATCCGTGTGAAGGCTGCCACCGAGGCTTCTTGAGCTCAGCACGTAACACTGATGACAACTCAACCTGATGTCAAGTAGAATGTCCCTGCCAGCACCGAAGATGGGATTAACTTGGATTTCATACAGAGTGCTAATTTCGGTAGCCCGCCTTCTTGAGATATGGAGTAGGAGGGACTGCTGTGTTCACATTTTGTCTTATCGCGTGCTTTTGGGGTGGCAGGGCCAAAGAAAACCGGTTGAAAGATGAAAAGAAGAACGAGGAAGGTTAGACGATAACAGGACCGGACCTAGGTGTATCGGCTGAGAGCAGGAAATGCGGTCAGGAGGTGCAATATATCGCTCCAGTAATCCGTGCGAACAACGTTAGGGGCCGGACACTATGATAGACGAGAATCGAACTAAGCTCCTCGTATAGTGGACTCCGCTACAACTAATTGTGACCATATCGTGTGCCAGAGGTAGGTTTAGTATGGTAGAGAGTCATCTTCGCACAACGAGATGTGTCAGGAGGCCCCTTGCGGAGCCACATAACAGGGGACTGGCTAGGGGCTAAGAACTCAGAGAACATATACATAAGGACTGCAGAGGGCCAGACCCAGATGTAAACCCCATACCTGTTATCTATTGCCTGTGGACCACGTGCTGAAGACCTCCTCATTCTGCTCAAACACGGCTCTAATAACAAGAATCACTAAGAGTCACCGCTACGTGCCTCAGTTCTGCCTTCAAGTATCTAGGCTCAGTCAAGAGTTAAAAAAAAAGGTAGATAGATGAAATGTCAACTGGCTAATTCGGGACGAAAGAACAAAACAAAAAACAACAACATACAACACCAGGTATTCGCTGGTCGTCACCGACTCAACTACTAATCCGGCCCTTATAAAGCTTAGTTCTCGGGGCAACCATCTTGGTTCTTGGGTCGGTGGTTGCCATCTACAAAGATGCGACGAGCAAACGGTTCGCCGGATAATTGAAGAGCGGTGCCGACCGTTCAGGGCAGTCCTTAACGGGGGCTGTTCAGATTTCAACCCCTTTATTGCGCAATCATATGTAGTGAGAAAAGTGAGGCTTCATTGCCAGCCAGTCATATGTCTAATCAAGTAGCCCCCCCCCCTTCTATGAAAGGTGAGATCTATTTTGGGCAACTCGCATTCCAGCTTCCAGGCTGCCAGAAACCGATCGGAGGTTTCCTATTGTCCGATTTGGGGAACCCTAGGAGAAACCGACTTTTAAATTGGCCACAAGCTATACTGGTTAAGCCGGTCCTTTGTAGTGGTATATTGTGGTGATGTACTCGTCTAAGGTAGCCATCCGCTTTTGAGTAGCGGCCCGTGGTAATACTGATACTTTCACTTGCAGAGAGGTACCGGCTACTTGATCGTTTCTGGACTCGTTATTTTACTGATTAACCACATCCCAGCTAATTGAATATGGGTTTCTGCGTTCTGCAAACGGGGACCTGTTGTAACGACCAAGGGTCGAACAGCAGGCCGCAGGCAACCCCGCGACAGATGACCGGCGCGTCACTCATAAGATAAAGATGCCAAGCCAGGGTCACGTGATGGATCACCGGGAGAAAACCACTGAGCCAGGGATCACACCAAACATAACGGTGATCCACCCGACAGGCTCACGTCCAACATAACAGTGATCCTCTAACAGGATCACCAGCAACACAACCGTGAGCCATCCAACATGGCCTCACACCCAACCAACAAGGACAGAATGGACGAGTATATAAGAAGGGACATTCCTGTACTTGTAGCTACCTACTTCTATCACGCCAGTGATCAATCTAAATCTTACCTTGTATTCATTGTAACGAGTGCGCAACGCCTTACGACACCAAACCCGCCTCAGTTCCACAACCTAAGCTTCTTTTAGCAAACACCCACGTCGCTACTGACTGTTCCTCACTTGAAGAATAGCCAGGTCGTAACAGTAGGCTATCCTCTCCTCTCTAGTGAGATAGTTTGAGACTAAAGATTTCTTTGCAGACAGACACCGAAAGCCACCAATAAGGTTCTCGAGCGGTATAGTAAGATAGCTCAAGATACCCTAGACAACTTCAAGAATCATCTACCTCATACCTATTAGCTAAGTGCTCCCTACCAAACATGAACTGGATAGTCAGTTACCGCTTCCGGAACGAATGTAGCAAAGTCGCCATTCTCACAGCCAGCAAGGGTGAGCATCGGTAAGCAGGGGTGAGCGAGGGTGAACGTGGGGTGAGAGCCCTGGGTGAGGAGGCAGGGCTGGCAACCGAGCTACCCTTCAAGAAAGTATCTGTATCAAAGTAGGGGATGTTCTTCCGGCAACCGCGGATTCAACTATGCAAGAGAAAAGCGCCGCCTGGGTTATACGATCATGACCCGCGTCAGAAGGGGGCTCACCGAGGTAGCCAGAATACTACTATCCTCTCGGCTCGGTTGAATCATTAATAATCCTGCTACTCAAACCGTGGTCTTGGAGTAGGCCACTGATTTCTAAACTTGACTCGTGGCAAAACCCACACATACCGGGGATACTACAACGAGCCGAGAAGTTTCATATAGCAATACCTACAACGGGCAATCAGTTATCATTTACAAAAAGTCATGTACTCGTGCAAAGGTATCGGCGCACTCACGCTACCCGCGCATTATCAATCGTAAACAAGCTGTCAAGATGGCGAGCCAATTCCATATCTACTCCTGCCAAGCTATTTCAACTGCCATTGCATTTCCCGATCCAACATCCCATGAAGCGAGCCTCAGGTCTCTGCTCTCGTGTACGCTGGCCCGCACTCGGAACTTGCCCTTCTGGTAGATTGTCCAGCAAGTGTCGACGTCACAATCGAGCTAGCAAGATGGATCAAGTCTGAGCTGCCGGCGGGTTGCACCTCAAGTCATTTTCTGCACTCGTACGCTCACGGAAACCATTTCCTCGGGCTTCCGGTCTTACAAGGCTACTTCCCTTTCGTCACAGCCATTTCCACGCAGAAAATTATCAAAGGGATTGCACAACAGAACTCAACAGAGACCTAACATAGCCTCTGGGAGAAAATATTGCCTTCTATTGCAGACTGTACTGATTTGCCACTGTCGAAGGCCAAATTCGAGAGCCTTTCGCCGACGAACGAGCTGGAACTGACTGGTCGCTCGATCCGAGTGTTTGACGTCCCCAACGGCGACACCCATGCCAAGTCTTTCGTATAGATTCCAGAATTGCGGTCCACTGTTGCAGGAGATATCGTCTACATGTCATTGTCATCAGTGATTGGTGAGGCAAGTATGCAGCGAAAACGAGACAATTGGGTCTCTCACTTTCGCAAATTGCCGCATTGAAACCAAAGCCATACTTGCAGAACACACATTCACTCCCGTCTCAATGCCAGAGTTTTTGGTCAGCGGTATGCTTCAGAGTACGGAGCACGACATTGCGGAGTTCGCAAAGGAGCTTGGTCAGGCCGATAATAACAAGGATCGCATTAGTAGAACGAGAGCTCGTTATGAACGAGGGAATCTCTCTAATCTTGCCGGGAGCTGCCAGGCCGGAATGACAGCTAACCTGTCCTAACTGATGAACTGAGTCACAACAGTGAACACCCAAAAACATAATTGTACAAAGTTGTAACTGCGTTGAACTGCGCCGGTATGTAATGCAACCGTGATACTTAGCCTTGCTGCCTCACTGCACGTCGTGTTCAGTCCCCCACAAAGCAGCGTGAAGCGCTTGTTCTACATCAACCTGCCGCCATCCGGGCGAGCTACCCAGACAGACGCAGGTTCCAATCAATGCTGCAACTATCTTAGCAAAACAAAGAATGCGACCTAATTTGGGGCAACTTACTTCGTATTAGTCTAGAAGGGTTAATGGCGGTTCGCCTTGAGGGGTGTCGCTGAACTTCCGCGTGAGCATTTGTCAGTAGATACGCATTTCTCTCCTGGAGAAATCCTTGAAGATCTTGAATGTCAAACCAAATCGGCTTTTTTTTGCCTTGACTTGGCATCTGAGGCTGGGTTCGTGTAGTGGTTCCACCAAGAGAGTTATCCAACATTGGTGACGGCGTAGGATAATGAGTTCCCGCTCCACCTATGCTCAAGAACGGAACTCCTTTCCATTCTTCCATCCGCGTAGGATAAACGTCAACTTGTACCACCGCTTCGTAATACGAAGTGAGGCTTTCCCGACTCAGCATACTGAGGAGGAACCGAAACTTATTTCGGAGGTCATCAAGTTGTACAAACGGGTTGCGTAACGAAAAGTACGCGTGATACGCACATGCCCGACTAAGTTGACGAATAAAAAGGGGGATCTCAACCAAGGACATGTCGGTATTGTCGAATAGTAGTGGAGAGCCTGGGCTTAAAGGCATAGGGAGACCGCTGAAATCAATGTTGGTGTGGTAGTGCGGGCTCGTCGGGGGTTGTGCCGCATATAAAGGGGCCGAAGAGGAGGAGGAACAGGTTTCCCCCCTTTTCCCTTGCATTGTTTGCCTTACCCGCAGAGACGTTGCTGACACCCGAGTCGTGGAGGTGCCGGGGCGGTCCTCATTGGTGGCTGGAATGTTTCTCTCGTAGATCTTCTGAGATTTTTCAAGTGTACTGCACAGTCGAGTCTCGAGACTGGGACTCGATAAAAGCAACCTGCTTTGAACCAAGTCCTCTCCAAGGGAAGTAACTATCGAATTCATTTCCCAGATTGCTGTCTCGAGCTGTCGGATTCGGGCCTCGTTATTTGCCAAGTTTGCTGCTTGACGGGAACGAAAGGCCTCCTGCGCTCGCCGAACTTGCTCCCGCCGTCGCTATATTCAGAATCAGCTTCGTGTTCTTCGATTCAAGCATCGAGGAAGGCCGTGTAACACGTACGTCCACCGGGTATTGGCCTGTTGAGCAATCCGTCTTTCGCGGTCTGCCACGTTTCCGCTTCGCCGGATTCGCGAGATCCGACGCGTGACTACCTTGCTGAGCTGAGCGAGGCCCGGTGGGGGAGTCGAGCGAACCGATTGAAGTAGCCGCATGCTCTAGGTTTCGAAGGAGGGGGAGGAGGGGGTTCACTTCAGTCGTGGCAGATTCTAGAGTGTTTTCGCCCCATACGTCATGGGGAAGTGGCTGTTCGTAACCAGTCTGAGCTGATTGTTGAGTGAATGTTTGAGGGTCTAGGTAGGAGGTCGCGGCCAGTAGCGAAGTCAGGCCGTCGGCGGCCGAGCAGTCTACCGGTGAAAAACTACGCCGGGCCATTTTCCACTCAATTGAATCCAGGCTGATGATATTGTGGCAAAGATGACAGAGATGGCGTCGTGCAGTCGACGAAGCGGAGGAGTCGGAAGGATGATTATTGTGCCAAGGTAACCTCTCAGATTATTAATCCCGACTTTGATTTGTGATAGTTGGCGAATCAACGCCACGCCCTATCGAATCTAGGTTTACTAGCGCGCGACTATAGAGTCACTTTTCCTTCCGTCCTGCCAAACTGCTAACCAAATTTGGGGCAACATGAATTATGCCTACTACGTCGGAGATATCAGTGCTACACCGGCGACTTGTGTTCATTAAAAGAATAATAATCGCTCCGATAAATAATCACCATGCGACTCTATGGAACGGCATTGAAAGCCTGCAGCGGTAGTAGGCGTATTTTCTTTTGAAAGGCCGGAGGGCGGGCACTAAGCTACAACCCCTTGTCAAAATACGAAGCCGCGGCTCGGGCTAGTATGTGTATGGTAGCTACAGTCACTTAGCAATGTCTCTACCAAGGGGTACCAAATACTACGCTAAAACTCGCGGAGTTCAGACGCCTGCTGTCCTATATAAAGTCGCTAGATATCTAGGAGGGCAAATGGATAAATCTTTCAACCAACAAGATTTTGCCTCTTTCTCCGCACAACTCGCCTGTAGTCCTGACGTTCGACGCCACGAACCCCCCGGACGCCAGCTTCTCTCGATACACCAGACGGCGTTTATCCTCGCAACCATGGGAAACTTTCTCAGTGGGGGAGCTAGTGTCTCTTTCAACCCTGATGATAACATTCCTTCCTTAAAAGGCAAGGTGATTTTCGTTACAGGTGGCACCAGCGGCCTGGGGAAGGAATCAATACTGCAATTGGCGAAGCACAACCCATCAGCGATCTGCCTCGGCGCCCGAAACCTCAATAAGGCACGCGAAACCATCAAGGAAATTCAGAAACAAGTCCCCAATGCGCCTATACAGCCAGTCGAAATCGACCTTGCATCATTCTCATCAATTGCAGCTGGAGCAGAAGCTTTCAAGAAGGACCACTCGCGTCTCGACATCTTAATGCTCAACGGCGGCGTTATGATGCCCCCAGCCGCCACCACAAAGGATGGTTATGAGATCCAGTTCGGAACCAATCATATGGGTCACGCCCTGCTCACGAAGCTCTTGCTGCCCACCCTTCTTAGCACAGCTGAGAAACCCGACTCCGATGTCCGGGTCGTCGTTCTTTCGTCGGGTGCACATAATGTAGCACCTAGTGAAGGTATCGTTTGGGACACTCTCAAAACCAAAGGCGAGGGCATGAGTGCTGGCGCAAAGTACGGACAGAGCAAGCTGGCCAACATTTTATTCGCAAAGGAACTCGCCAAACGTTACCCACAGCTTACGGTGTCCTCCATCCATCCGGGCATTGTCAACACCAACTTGACTTCACCGGCCTCGAACAACAGCTTGTTTTGGAAGATAACGATGAAGGTGGTCTACTCGTTGATTGGGCTGGATGTTGCAAAGGGTACGCTGAACCAATTGTGGGCATCAGTCGCTGAGACTGTCAAGTCAGGCGAATATTATCAGCCAGTTGGGATCGCGGGTAAGGGCAGCAAGCTCACTGAGAATGTGACTTTGGCAGAAGGCCTTTGGAAATGGACCGAGGAGGAGATTAAGAACTATTGAAACTGGGTAGACAGTATCGGGATCACGTGACATCGATAACGGATCGTGATCCCGACATCGTAAGTCACATGACGAGGGAGATTAATATGGAGATAGCTAAGTGGCACGAGGAGGGCGTCTTAATATATTACCTTTATTTCAGTGTTTGAGACAGGAGATCACCCTTCCTCGCGGCTACGAGCATATCGCTATCCGAGGGATGAATTTAGAAAGTATATTAGGCGATTCCCCTGAGTAACTACAGGTTTCAGAAAAATCTACCACAAGTAGATAATCGAATCCCATATCAAGCCAATGACCTTACTAAGTACCGAAGTACCTAAACGGATGTCTAGCACCTTGAGGTAGTCAATAACGCAGTACTATGCAAATAACGCTATGTTGGTTTCTTCTAACTATACTACCCCCCTCTCGAAGTATTGGCGGGGACCGTCTTTAATTCGCGTTCCCGTATAATATATTAGCGCTAATTACACTAACCCCGGAAAATAGGCCGGGCACCGTAGGAGCCGCTAAGTACCCCTCCTATCTATCTATAGCATTCTTATGCTAGATATACGTCTATTATAAGGTTAAGTACGATAAGTCGATACCCCTATACTCTAGCTATCGAGAAGGCAGGCTAGTATATATCTACAAAGCTTTAGCGCTAAGTACGCGGAAGCGGAAGCCTAGTAAGGCGAGTGCTAATAATGTTTATAAGAGGCTAGTGCAGTACGAGCGCGTGCTACGCTAATATAGCTTACTAGAAGCTACTAGTATATCGCCTATAGCCGAGAAGGACATAGAGGCGGCCAAGGTTTCGATCTTCCTACTCTAGAATCTTCTATCTAGTAAGCTTATTATTGGTTAAGGGAAATCGAGGTATATTAATAGCTACTTATAGTATAATATAGGAGTTATAGGAGTTAGAGACTTATAACTACTTTAGTAGCTAAAATAAAAGCTAAACTATAACGATATATATATTATTAGAAAGAAAAAAATCGTAGCTATAGAATAGTATACTTTTTATAATATTCTATAGAGCCGTTCTATAATAATAAGCTATTAAATTCTCTTATACCCTATTAGCTAAAGCTTAAAATCTAACTCTACTTCCTCTATAAGTCTAGAGGTAGTCTAAGCGCCTCGTCTATATATAACTACTAAGGGTTAGTCTATTAATATAGAGGGCACCCCTTAGACCTATTTTTTAAGTTTTTAAGTCTTAATAATTATCTAATTCTAATCATATTTATAAGTCCCTCTTATATAATAATTCCTATCTAATTTACCTATTCTTAATTACTATAAACGGATACCTTCTAAAATATGCTTTATGTAACAACCAAGGAAGCAGGGCGGCCGCGAATCGACGACCCCGCGATCAGGGAGCGCGATAAGATAAGAATCGGGCCCACCTGGCAAATCACGTGATGGCTCACTCAGACATAAAGGGTGAGTCGTCGGGCTCACCAAGGACGCCGCAGTGAGCCAGGGAATGGCTCACGGGATAACACACCGTGATCCTAACATCATGGATCACCAACAACTAACCAGTGAGCCATCCAACATGAGCTCACCACCTAACACAACAAGGACAGGATGGCAGGTATATAAGGACGGACATTCTGGACTTGTAGATACATTCTTTCTCACGACAGTGATCAATCTAAGTCTTACCTTGTATTCATTGTAACGAGTGCGCAACGCCTTACGACACCACATCGTCTCAGAGTCACAACCTAAGCTTCTGCAAACAGCAACCCCAACCCTCTGACAGTGTTCCCCCTTCGGAAGCTGCCAGGTCGTAACACTTTACTTCTATTAGGATTAATCTAAATACTCTTTTTAATTAATTATAATCTTCTTTATAATTAATCCCTCTACCTATCTACCTTCGATCCGAACGAAAATTATACTATTTTATAGCTCTCGTTAAAGGCTATTAGGATCTTCGATCTATTTCTCGATCTAATATCTCCTTCTCGAGATATAATTACTTTTATCTCTCCCTTCCTCTTATCCTTTTATCTACTATTATCTCTTCCTCTTATAACTAAGTAATACCCTCGGTCGTTGCCTAGTACCTCCTACGATATATATCAATATATAGTATAAGTATAGCTAGGCTAGATCCTTCGAGAGGTCGTATTCTATAGATACCTTATTATACTATCGAATATACTAATAAGCATTATAATAGGTTAGGGACTAAGGAACTAGGTAGCTTAATACTTAGCTTATTTCAAGCTAGGAATTAGTAGGCTAAAGATACTATAATATACTTACTTATAAAATCTAAGCTCCTAGATCTTAACTTAATAGTACCCCTTAATTAAATCGGAATATAGAAATTAAAGTAGGATATTTAGACCCCCCTAAGACTATATAAGTTAAGGCTATTAATTAGAATACTATAAATTTAAGCGCTTATAGTAGAGTCTAAAGTAGCGGCTTAAAGAGGGGTAAGGTTATATAGGCGCGTACTATATAGGCTATCTTAGCCTTATAGTAGAGACTTCTCCGAAACGTAATACTGCCCTTACTAGCTTATCTATAGGAGAGCGGATGGGATCCCGAGTTTTCTAGCAGGTATAGTCGTATATGGTGGTAATCGCCGCTTTTGCAAACTATAATCCACTGTAACTCACTCATACTCATTGATGGCGTCCTCAAGGCGCCAATTTCGGCATGCAGCTAATGAAGCTAGGCAGTTCCAATGATCAAGTACTCGGGGGTCCGTTTCAATTACTGAGTCTCTGAATCCATGCAATTGCGTGATCACATGGTAATATTGCAACCTGATGTCCCTTTGTCTGGCATTGTAGCGTGTCTAACACTCATGAGTCACTGAATCTCGCGATCCTTCGAGCAATACGCGACACCTATGACGCCAACCCAAGCGCATAGAGAGAGCTTGCGACTCCCTGTTACCCCTCTTTATTCCCGATGCTACCCATCAGGGTTCGTCACGGCGCGCCCGTATGTGCTTGCAAATCGTGAGCAACATGGATTCAGGCGCTGTCCGTTATGACCGGCCTACATGCTGCTTCTGGCATTCACGGTATCTTGGGTACCTTATTCATTATGATTGGCATGGCATTGGGACATAAGAGAGGCAGACACAGCACCTAGAATTGCCGGGTACAGAGTCCGTATTCTGGTGGTCTACGGGCAGCACTGTACGTTCGATGCACCAAATGGTGCCGGCGGAATTCCCTCAATCGGCCATTTCCATCCGACCCAGGCTCCGCTTTCTGCGGGATGCGCAATGGCGGGATCATGCATCTGGGGCCAAGTGAGATCATCGATGAGTTCATCAGGGTCCACGAGCTCGAGCGACCCCTCGTACCTCCATTTTGTATGGAGCATGACAACCAGGGGCAGCGGAATAAGAACCCTGTGCCCCTCACTCGTTCCGAAGCTTGCGAAGCCAACCCCTCACTACACAGATCTCGACGATAGTTCTCATTACAGGAGCCAAAGAGAAGACAACTCTGTCATCAATTAGCAACCGTCACCTTTCAGCAATCCCAAGAACCACTACCAACATGTCGTTCGGCACCAAGGCTACATTCCACACTGGCGCGCAGATCCCCACGCTGGGATACGGCACCTGGCAGTCGTCTCCTGGCGAGGTCTCCGTGGGCGTCTACGAAGCCCTCAAGGCCGGCTACCGCCATCTTGTAGGGCCTCTCACTTGGATCAACGGTTTCATGGCGCGCAGCAAGATTGCTAACCGTAGTCGCAGGATCTCGCCAAGATCTACCAGAACCAGCCCGAGGTCGCCGAAGGCATCAAGAAGGCCTACAAGGACATTCCGGGACTCAAGCGCGAGGATATCTTCATTGTGAGTGCCCGCAGATGCTCTAGGTTTCTAGGAATCAAGGATTGATGCTGACTGATGGATCTCTCAGACCTCCAAGCTGTGGAACAAGTATGTGCTCCTACAACACCTACGGCTTTCCGACTACCTTCCGCTGCTCGGAACTAATCAATCCATAGCTCCCACCGTCCCGAATATGTCGAGGCCGCCCTTGACCAGACTCTGAAGGATCTTGAGCTTGACTACCTTGACGTACGTCTTTCGGCACCCCGTTGAAGCAGGGCAACAGAACAGTATCGCTGATAGCATGTAGCTCTACCTCATCCACTGGCCTGTCGCATTCAAGCGCAACGGTGCTGCTGACGCTGACAACCTCTTTCCCGCCTCTGAGGACGGCAAGGCGGTCGCTGTGGACGATGATGTCTCCATTGTCGACACCTGGAAAGGTATGCATATCCCTGAGACTTCGAGGCCGTGCTATTTCTGACGAGAACAGCATTGATTGATCTGCCCAAGTCCAAGGTCCGCAACATTGGTGTCTCCAACTTCACCGTCAAGCACCTTGAGAAGGTCATCAGCGCCACTGGCGTGGTCCCCGTCGTCAACCAGATCGAGCGCCACCCTCTTCTCCAGCAGAATGACACCGTCATCAAGTACGCCAAGGAGAAGAACATTCACATCACTGCCTACTCTGTCAGTTGATCTCGCCATGATTCTTTTCGAAGGATGCATTGGCTAATGAAAATATAGGCATTCGGCAACAACAGCATTGACGCGCCTCTCCTTCTCGTCAACGACACAATCAAGGCCGTTGCCGAGAAGAACTCTGCGACCCCCGCACAAGTCCTGTGAGCTGAGACACGCTCCCTGCAATCATGGTGTATGTGTTAACATGGGGATAATAGGCTTGCCTGGGCCCAGGTCGGTGGCCACAGTGTGATTCCCAAGTCTGTGACCCCCTCGCGCATCGCAGCCAACTTCCAGGAGATCAAGCTCTCCGATGAGGATTTCGCCGCCGTCAGCAAGATTGGCGAGAACCCCGTGCGATACAACATTCCCCTGCGCTGTAAGTTTTCGTGTTGTACCATGCTGGCCTTTCCGTTCTGGACTGACCTTACGCAGACTCTCCTACCTGGGATGTCAACATCTTCGATGACGAGGTCGAGAAGAAGGCGACGCACCAGATCGTTCTTGGTGCGTAAGGGACTCAGGGGGATCAGGATATAGAGCGTCACGGCGAATAATGAATACATGTCTATACGCCCTTGGCAAGAGATCTTACAGGATACAGTCCAGGTCGCTTACATGATTGAATGAGACATCAATGGCGAGCTCGAGCTTTTACATGTACTCTGGCATTCCAGGGATGTTCCCATCTCGGTTCGCTGGCCGAGACGTGCGGTAAGCATGTGCATATGACTGGCATGACGGAACGTCAACCCCCCGGTTCCCTGGTAAGGCGAGAACGAGCTAAGTAGCTACATATGCAGTGAGCCTCGCGCTGCGAACTGTCTGCGACCCAAGCTTGAGGGAGCAGATGAAACTAGGGCGTGGGCTTGATCCATTCTTGAGCCTGATCGGTGGAGAGAAATATTTAGGGGGCTGCTGGTTTTCGTTGCTTGGTCGAAGGGCAAGGGTCTTCGAAGCCTCGCAGCCCATGGGCAAAGATCTAGGCAAATCATGAACCTGATAACAATTGGCTGATTTACGCAGCCTGGACAAAACGTCCGTATGCGGCCCTGTGGGTTGCCACAAATGGAGGTGAATGGTCGGTCCCGAACCCGGAATTCATGACGGCTCGAAGCGCGGAGTCGGACCTGATTCCGATTTCACGGATCCTGGGAATAGGCCTGTCTTCGGCGACATTGCACAGAAAGGTGTCAGGGTTGCGAAGCCCAAAGCGCAGCAACGGCGGATATTCGCCCCGCCGTTGAAGCTCCGGGCTCAATCATCTTTTGTGGCTTTGTACGATGCAAGGGCGTGATTACAAAGGCGTCAGCCAGGGCCCAAAGGGCGGGAGCTAAGGTGAGATCTGAGGCTACTAAAGATCCGTACCCAGATCGCCCGCCCTTTATTTTCCGGCGCGATCTGCCCCGTTCGGACCAACAGCAGGAAGACGCGATCTTGAGACCCGACATCGACGACCGCCATCTACAGCAACTAGGAGCAGGTAGTCCTTTCACTCCACCCCCTGCAACTCCCACCCTTGTGCCTTACCCGAGGCCTGGATGAGGTGAAACACTGCAAAGGCCAGGGTTGCAATACCGTCCATCTTTTCTTTTGCTACAGCCTGCGGACTTCCGCCAAAACTGACAGATCGAATTCTGCTTGTCTCCAGAGTGCAGACAGGTGAAAAGATATTTCTAATGACATTCTGTCAATTTGCAATGCCCTGAGTCCCTTCGTATGCGTCAAATCAGCTTATCATGCTGCTCAGACCACACACAATGTACAGCTTGCGGCCGAGGTGGAGGACCCGCGAGGCTGGCGTGGAGTGAGGAGGCGTGAGATTATGCATCAAGGGTCAAGGATCTGATTTCTCTGGGCACCTGGCCTCCGACACCATCCATCAGGCCATTGGCTCTAGGCGTTGACCCCTAACGCCCCATCAGCGCCATCTCTCTCCATGTAACGTGCATGATGGACAAGACCGGCGATATGACGGTACTAATGAGGCGCCAGATTGTTGGCTGCAACATGTGGGCTCACGATCGTGCAGACGCAATTGATTGATTACTCTTCAGCAGGGTCACTTTCTGTGCGACACAGCTTGGAGAATGGTGTGAGGAAGATTTCGCGGAATGGTCCTGTCACCCGTTACACCTATGCATTTCTGCCATGACGTTGCGAGGCATCATGGTTGAGATCCAATCCGGCTGCCAGCCGAGTGAAATTTCTCCGGCATGCTTGCAGATTGCAGGTTGCAACATGTCGGGAACATCGGGTAGCGTCACCAGATAGGCACTGGTCTTTTGTTGTCACCTCATTCTAACCGCGTCGGACCGAGTCTTGCTTTCTGGCTCTCTCTCTCTTTGTCATTCTGAGGGTGCTGATATTTCTTTTTTCTATATCCTTCCACCAAGCCTCCTTTTTAGGCCGTGTGGCACAGCGAAACACGTCCCTCTTCTCGACCGGCCGCACCCTGTGTTCCGTGGGACCCAAAAGAGGCCCAAGGGCTTCCTAGACTTCAGGTCACCTATCTCGATGATAACGACCGAGCCACAGGCTCACGAAGCATGCTGCGAAGCATATTGGTGGTCGCACAACGTGGTTAGCCTAGAATCTTTCTCGAGGCCATCTCGCCTCAGCTCTCCATAGGCCCATTGTGTAGCCGAGAAACATGCGCCAAGCCAACGGCATCTGTACCAGATCTCACCTCACTCCGTCGCCCTTGGATGAGCTGGAGCAGCCCCACCACGTCATCCCTGCTCTTACGACAAGGGGTGCTGGCACTCGCTCCTGAATAGGCACTACCCGCGATTACTGATCCGTGTTGGCGCCGAGTGCTGATCTGACGCTGGAGGGTTTCCTCCCGGGGTGGCTCCCGCGCCAACCCCGGTTCTGATTCCGGTGTCCAGTTGTTCCTCCTGTATGCGTCGACGTTACCATACCAGATGGACGGATCACCGAGATTTAGCGTTCTGAGGTCGTTACCCTAATCAAGCAAGCGCCATATCTAAGGCTGAGAGGAAAGTGCCAAGTCGAAGAGGCAACAAGGACGTCGCGAAGAATCAGTTGGGTGAATCACTGCTTCTGGTCCCCTGGCCTCAGCCCATCCTTTGTCCCATCTATTTGGGAGAACCTGGCCATCTGCGTGAGATCGCAGCCCCAGGAACACACCCCAGTAGTATCCAAGCAGTCGATCCAGCAGGCTCAGGAACAGCTGATCTCCTGGAAACAAGGCACGGTCCTGTTGCCTTGCCTGGGAACCTTACGTAGTCCAATCCGCAGGTTCTGTTTCCTCCGCGATATTTCTTCTCGTCTCTTGTCTTCGCCCTGTCCATGCGTCCGTAACACACTTTCTACCTAGCATCTCTGATAGATCCCATCTTGCATCTGGACCGACCCGCCACACCGGTCGAAACCCAAGGAACACATCATACTCCCTTGAGTAAATGGCCCAGTCTGCACCCACACTGCTCTCGCTTAGTCCTTACGCAGCCGTGCAGCGTTCCTTTTCCCCCTTCTCGATTCATCTCTCTGACCAGTACATTGTCGCCCTGCTCTTTGCTGCCACGGCTGTCTGACTTTGACATTCCACAATCAGCCCATTGGGCTGCCAGCCTTCCGCTCCGGTCCTTGCTTTCACTGTGGCACTCCAGAACCACCCTCCCGCCGCCCCGTTTCTCTCGACAAGGCCCGACTGTCTCTTAGCGTCTCCGATAATTTTCGGGCTCTCTATGAGAAGAATTGGCAGTCTCTCTGACCGGGCGTGTATCCGTGGCGCTGGCCTTTGGTGACGACAGACTTCGGTAGCCGGGCCTCCATCTACATGCAACGGAGCCGCCCCAGCACATCGACCCGCGAGACCGGTCCCGCCGACTGCCCCCACCCTTCCCGCTCCCCCCCCCCCCTGATGCTGTTCTTCTCTCATCGTCCTCTTCGACCCCTTCCATCCCACGCCCATGGTACCCGATCGTTTTCCCAAACTTTAAATAAACTCGTCCTTGCGCCCGCTACCATGGCCATGACCACGATCAAGCGCGTTACCCGCACCGAGCCCTGTTCGCGCCACCATCGAGCCTCCTACTACGCTCAAGACGTCTCCGAAGGTCCTCCCGGGCGACTCGCGTCCCTTTGCTCTTCCTGCAGGTATTCTAGCCAATCTGGCAACATCTCCGCCGCCATGGTCTCCATAGCCGTCCAGCCGCCGACCGAGACCCAGACCTGCCGGCCCATATATCCACCTGTCGTCGCCCAGACGCATGTCCGCGCCGGCGGCCGCCACAACAACACGCACCTCTTCGCGACAGCAGCACTGCTCGACGACCAAGGGCGGGTCCTCGACGGCCAGCTGGGCGGCGCCCTGGTCGCGACAGGCTATGCCGTCGAGGACCGCGGCTCCGGCAGCAGGCATCAGTCTGTTGCCTTTGCTTTTCCGGACCTAGCGCTCACATATGCCGGCGTGTACTCCATCCGTGTAGACGTATACCGCGTCAACTACGATGATGGAGACACGGACAACGCGACCATGATCGATCAGGCCGAGACGGAGCTGTTCTATGGCTTTTCAGAGGCCGTTGCGGTGCAGAGGCCAAGTAAGCTCACCCCATCCTTCCATTGCGCGTACAGTCTTCTATCGCTTGCGAATCGTGCTCATTCTTCTTGCTTAGCATCAGAAGAGAGGTCTTTGCTGCGCAAATTGAGGCAAAGTGGATGCGATATCCCAAGTACGCCGACGTGAGAGCTAGTCAAGCTCGATGGAGTCACGGCCGAAGACAAACTGCGAGGGAGACTTCGCGAAAGCAGCTGAGTATTGTAATGGAACGTTAATGCGTCATGTATGGATAGGTACCTGGTTGATCACATGCCAGGGATCATGGCAGGCAGGCAAAGCAAATGGATATAGAGGAGGGAAACGATCACCGTCAGGGGATGGTCATAACAGGACCCCACGACAGGTGATTATCTGGGATTGCCACAAAGGCTATCGGCGTTGAGTCATTCATTGTATCAACAGGTAAAAATCTTGGTCAGGAAACGAGGGAAATGGAGTAGGCACTGCCAGGACAAACTACAGCATATAGCAATAACGTTTCTGGAACAATGCAGATCATGTTTCTCCAGGGTGCATATAGGAGAGCCAAGAGAGGAAGGGATCAACTGTCCCGCATTTTACCTGAACTGTCGCAGTAGGGACTTTCTGACGATGATGCATCTGCTGGTAAAAACCAGCAGTGAAAGTGTATTGCTTGGCCTTCACACCGCATCGAATTGCCGTGAGATCCAGCGCCCATGCATTTCATCATCACACAGAGCACGCCCTCCAAGCTCTTGGACCATCTACCAAGCCGCTCCTATTTCAGCTCTCGTCCCGGAGAATCGGATTTACCCAGCAAATAGCCCTCGCACCCTCTCGGCCAAGACACCAACACACCCACAAGTCCCTGTTCCCTGCACAATATCGGTGTGGTTTCATTTGCCAGCGCCAAGCTACAGCGGCCGATTCGCGCTAGGGACTGAGAGCCGGTCCCGCCGGAGCGGCAGCTGGGTGTCATGTCTCGATGCTCCCACCGACGTCCGCTTTCTTTTGCTTCCCGATTGAGTGTCGGCATTTCTCCTTGACGCCGTTGGCGTTCCCCTTCTCCAGGGGACTAGCCGTGTCTCAGCGGCGAACGGTTTGCTTGTTTTTTAAGTTTTCTGTCACGTCCACTCCCAAATATCGGGCTCAGCCGCGGACGTGATGGGACCGCCCTGCTTGAGACAGGCGGCAAAGGTCTCTTGGAACCATTGACATGCCACATCATTAGACAGCGCGCTTCACTTGGGAAAAAGATGTTCGAGACCCACTCAATATCTATTCTCAGCGCACGCATGCACGCAAACAAAAAAAAAAGAAAAAAAAAAAAAAAGGGCCGCCAACAATCTAGATGAACGCCGAATGAAGACCCGAAAATCAGGAGACAAAGCTCTGAGTCTACTCCCAATGCTACCCAACAACAAAATGACATCTTCAAGACAAGCCCAATAACTACCGTTAACCGCTGCCCGCCTCGTACCTGATGGAGAACGCGGCCGTCTCGATCGTGTCGTAGTCGTCGGGATCCTCTGCGTCGCCAAAAACACGCAGCACCTTGACATCAAACTTGTAGCGACCGGCCGGGGCATACTTCTCACTGTCGAGCTGGCCATCCCAAGTGAGAACGACGTCGGTCTGGCGCGTGATCCACCGGAGTGCAGGCACCGCAGACCCCATGGTCCTGACGTCGAGGAACTCGTACGTGAGCCCCTCATCGTGACTGCCGACGGGAATGACCTCTAGATACGCCACACTGGTACCCAGGATGGACTCGAGATTGACACCGGGGAGAGTATCTGTGGTAGGATCGGCTGTGCCCTGCGCAGGAAGCACGAAACTTGCATTGACGATGGATCGTGTTGGCGTCTGTGCCTCGTAGACGAAACCATTGGCACTTGCCAGCACAGGCGTCTCTCGCATGCTACCGGCTATCCCCATGTAGGGGAGGTGCAACACCTTGCCGTCATCACCGTACAGCGCGATGTAGCCAGAGTACACAGGCAAGCGAGCGTTGTCGACATCCTCTGGAAGGTCGAGAGACAATGTGACCTTCTCCTCTCTTCCCGCCTTGACAGTGATGATAGGCTTGCTGAAGTAAAGAGTCGCATAATCGTCTGTCAGCTCGTTGGGGAAAGTATCCGCGCGGCCGGTACCTGCAGCAAAGGTATAGGCCATGGCCGCAGGACGGTGGTCAAGTGTGTAGGTAACATCTGCGTCTCCAACGTTCTTGATGCTGAACGATAGCGAGCGGAGGTGCTCCGTATCGTTGAAAGCGAGACTCGACACGCTGAGGATGGTGGTGGTGAAAGCAGCCTCGTACGCTTGGATCAAGCCAGCTCCCTGCTTGGGAACGGGTGCGAGTTGGTTAAAGGCCTGGTTTCCATCGTTAAAGAAATGCGGCTTGGCTGTGGCAGCCAAAATATTGGTGAGTTCGACTGGATCAAGACGTCCGCGGATTTCGGCCAACAAAGCAAGAACACCAGACACGAGCGGAGTGGCCATCGATGTGCCACCGAGCACGGCATAGCTGCCCAATGCTCTAGGCCAGAGCGAGAGAATATGCCCTCTAGGTGCAGCGAACTGCGGCTTCAGTTCAGCCTCCCACGTGGGACCCCAAGATGTGAAGGTGCTGGCAAAGCCTCCAGTTATGGTGTTATTGCCATGCTCGAGGACAGCGTCCGACTCGATGGGGTCGGTCATATGAAGCGTCACCTTGGAACCTGCCGCTAGAGCCTGCAACCAATACTCGCCTTCTTCTGCAGTGGTCATGGCCACGGCAAGAATTTGAGCATGAGCCGACGAGACATCCTCGATGCCAGGTACGTTGTTGTAGAACATGATGTATTTGGCACCCTTATCGGCGGCATTCGCAGCTTTCTCGTCATATGTGCAAGTTCCGCGGCGAATCAGAACAATGCGGTTGCTCAAATCAGGAGTGTCGGAAGGAAGAGGGTCGCAAGCATCATCGAACAGCTCGGCGTCGAGACTTGTAGCGTAAAGGGGAAGCTCCACATCAGCCCACGCAGCAGGGGCGCCCTCATGCCAACCAAAGGTGACCTCGCCATCGTCATCGATGCTGTACGTAGACTCTGTGAGTAGCTGAGGTATGACCACGTTGTCAAAAGAAGCGACAGCCGTGGAACCGATGCCATCAACTGGCCCAGAGGCAAAGAAGAGTCCCGATGCGCCCGAGTTGCCCGTCGCAACGACGCAGGGCACCCCTTGCTCAACGATACGCTGCACGATGACAGAGCCCTCTTCTTGAGACCAACCCTGATCACCGCCAAGAGAAGCAGAAATGATGTCGCTTCCGTCCTCAAAGGCCTGGGCGAAAGCTGCAGCTATGGCGTCGCCGGGAGCCGTGCCATTGCAGCCGAAGATCTGTAGGATCCCAGAGTTACATCGGGAGCAACACCGGTGAAGCCAAGCGGATTTGATTGGGCTGCGATGGTGCCGGCGACATGAGTGCCATGCCCGTCGCAGTCCATGGTCGGCTCCTCAACGTTGTCACCATCGACATAGTCGTGACCGTATGACACGAGGCAACCCTTTCCAAAGCAGCCTCCGAGAGCAGGGTGCTTGAAGTCGATCTGCAGCTCGTCAGATTTTCTCCTTATCGCACCTGGCTCAAAAGGCTTGAAGCGTCAAGTACTTACACCAGTGTCGATAACCGCAATTTTGAAACCCTTTCCTGTGTAGCCTGCCTCTCGAAGCATGTCGACCTGTGTCATGAGGTGTGGGGTGAAAGCGTCATGATCACGACCGCCATCTTGTGAATCACGCTTCCGACTCTTTTGATACGCTCGCCCGCTGTTGCCGGTCCACATGACCTTGTCATCGGGACGATGATATTCTTTCAAGGTGCGAATTGACCTAACACCGGCCATCTTCCCCAGCTCGGTGGCTTTCTCCTCCGCCGTGTCGAGATCTCTAAAGTGAATCGAAGTGCCGTGAAACAACTTGTAATTCAGATCCCTCCGTTTGATTGCATGCCCCTTATATGCTTTGTGAAATGCTGCCGTATCCTTGGATGAATGGTTAGCGACTTTCAGGCCGTCGTCTACGAACAGCGAGTGTGACGGACACTAGCCTGCGGCAGCACTCCAAGAAAAAGTGTACTTACAACGCCATGCTCGAATTCAAAAAGGTATGCACCCGGGATAGTTTGCGGCTGGGGTGCAGCGCTCACAACGGTCGAGGCCGCTGCGAGTAGAGAAAGGAAGATGATGCTGCGAACCATAGTGGATGTGACAAAACGCTAGACAGATAGAAAAGAGGAAGGAAACAGAGAAGATGCTTTATTCTGGTATGATTAGTGTAGAAGGCCATGACTGAGGGCTCATCGGTGGCCCAATGGCGCGGTATATATGTCGAAGTCTAGGAGATCATCGTGACTGGGGTCCTGAGAGCCAAGCGTGAAAGAGACGGGGGGGTGAGACTCGCAGGATCTGACATTCTGTCACAACGAAATCGAGGCTCACCAGGGTGATGAGGATGAGATGGGGTAGAGGGTTGCTTCAGCCGCGACCCCGACGTTTCCGGGTGCATTCACATGTAGCTTTCTTATGCATCGCAAGAGAAATCAGGGGCTCAACTGTTGTCGGATGTCTGCGCTGAGCCTCACATCGAGGCGCCATCACCAGCATTGCGATGAGAATCCTGCGGTATGGTAAGCGGTGCCAAATACTATGATAGAGGAACATGAATGCCTGTATCCAAAAGGATGCAACGGGATATGGCCCAATTTCCAAACCACATGGGGGACGGACGCTGACCGCCCTGTCGTCGAGCGCCGGCGTGGCTTCCCAGGACGGCGGTTGGATGCCAGCAGGGGCGGAAATATCCTGTCGATTGGCGAGATGGGGAAATCACTGCTGTGACTCTCCCAGAATAGCATCGTCAGTCAACGCCCGGGGCTTGGTCAAGTAAGCTCGTGGGCCCATGGGGCTGCGGCTGGATCAGGATGACCCTGTGGGTATCACCAGAATGCCCAATGCCGGTGAGCCGGCGAAGCTGCGCAGCCGAACTGGGCCAATGTCGGCCTGCAATTTCTTTGGCGACGATGTGCTGACGGCTCACCCATGACGGGTGATGCCCAGGCTAGAGGATTCACCAGCCCTAACAATCGTGTTTCGTTTTCCTGCCCATGAAAGCGGTCCGTGTGTTGCTTTATCAAGTCGCTCGGTCTACGTTTTCATGTCCATTTGGGCGGATGATGTTCATGTGTTGTTGTTGTTTGTCCGCCAAAGACATCTTTCGTGCGAGGAGCTTACTCGACTTGAGTATTGTCGACAATGTGAGCTTGCATGATCTCGGTGGGATGACCAAATTTGTTTCCGCAGTCTACGCTTCCTGTCAAGAATTCGCTGGCTCGGCATATGATACAACTGCGGTACTCGTTATGTCCGTGTTTTCAGCAAAGAGCCCGAGGATGCATTAAAGTAGAGGAGATACAGTATGATGCAGGTGATTGTATTATGTCGTAGCATGTTGCCCGCTAGCGAGCCTGTTCTTGAACCTGACGGAGGTCATTTCTCACTATTTCGTGCAATAAACCCTTTCACTTAGGCAAGCAATTCCCTAGCAACAGCAGGCGAGTTGATGTACGCCATACCCTCCTTGCGGTATGTGTCGTCTTCAAGATAGTTTTCTGTAGCGTTCAAGACCATGTTGACCGGCTTGTCCAAGTCATACCGGGGCCACTTGGGCAAGGCCATGACGTCCGTCGCATTGTGACGACAGGCAGGGTTTGGGTCAAGGTTGTAGACGAATCTCACGTACGCCTGTCCGATTGTGCGCGCCAGCTTGACGTGAGAGTCATGCGTGGGCGATGCGCCTAGCAGTCCGGAGATGTTTTGAAAGCTAAAGGCGACGTTGTCAAAGTGCTGCACGCCGTCGACCTCGGCGCGGTTCCAGAGTCGCTGGTCGAAGCGGTAGCTGTAAACAGGCTGCGACTCCCCTATGGGCCCAGCATATAGCTCGCACATCTTGCGGCGACCGGAGATCATGACTAGGTCGCCACCGATATCTGCTCCTCGACGCCACTGTGAACCCCTCGACAAGGCGGGCAAGCGGCTGCAGTTGGTGATGGCGTGTGGCGGCGCATCGCAGGGGTCATCGGGATAAAGCTCGAGGAGTTTACGGATAGTTGGAGACGATAGTGAGTAGGATCGCCAGCTAGCGAATGCATTCTGGAGGTCCTTTGCTGTCTCGGGTCTCGGCGAGGTCGGCCTGAAGTTGATACCCTCGTCCGTGTTGTGTCCAATAAGCAGCGGGACCTTGACAAAGCTTCCTCCCGGCATCAGCTGGCTTGGGTATCCAGTCAAGAAGTCTCCGTCGATGAGCGGGTTCCATACTTGGCTGGGGCGGGCAGCGAAAAGAGCCTCCTGGCTCAGGCCGCGAAGGCACGCCAACTGGTTCGAGGCCGTCCAACACCCAACCGAGCGGGTCAGGTTCTCAACAGGAACGGTATAGTAAGGCAGGTTCTGCACCTGAGCGCCGGTCGGACCGCCACTTTCCATGATTGCGCCCCTATAGAGGCCATCATCGCGCCCGTCATAACTGAAGAGGTGGTAGGCGATGCTCTGGGCTCCGGCACTTTCACCCCAAATAACGACGCGGTCGGGATCACCACCGAATGCGGCGATGTTTTCTTGGATCCAGCGGAGAGCAAGTCGCTGATCGAGAAGACCGGCGTTGCTTGAACCTTCAGCCAACAACTGCGGCGTTTGCAGGAAGCCGTACATGTTGAGACGGTAGTTCATGGCGACAGCGATGACAGGTTGACCCATGTCTTGGCTGACCTTGACAATGCCAGACAGGTTGTACTGGGGATCGGCAATCGAGCCAGTGAAGAGGCCACCGCCAAAAATCCAAACGAGCACAGGAAGTGGCTTCTCATGTTTGCCGGATGGTCGAACGACATTGAGAGTGAGGCAGTCCTCGGACATGTCGAAGTTGCCGCGGTACTGCATGCAGCTGTATCCCTGTTTTGTCGCGTCTCGGACATCGGCGAAAGACTCATTGAGACTTTGTGGCCAACGCCATCTCAGATCCCCGATGGGAGGTTGAGCGAAAGGGATGCCCAGGAAAGCATCTTGGTCCCAGGAAGAGAGGTGGGCGCCCTCATAGGTGCCGTTGACAGTTGTCGCGAGGGGTGCCTGTGCCACGACGGCCTCGCAACAGCAGAGGGCCGCCCACAAAAAAGATCGGACATGCATTCGGAGTCGGCTCAAAAAGTCTGCAGGTCGAGAGTGCCAGAGGAATGAGGCCAAGCAGGCCGCCTCGCAGGTGACGACTTCATGCCGCTCATATACCCCGAGCCCTGCCTTGCATTCTCCTTTGGTCCGACTTTTTAATATCGAAGGGTAGGCATCATGTCCAGCGGTCTTTGTCTTCCATGTCGAGGTGATTGGAGGAATTTCCCATGACCGGGGTCTCAACAACGCGGAAAGACAGACGATGAAGCAACCCCAGCAAGATGCACTGTAGGGGATTGCCGATCCAGGCCCCGCGTCCGACAGGGGCGGGTCCTGGGGTACGAGGGCTCGACGCTGAGTGGCCGAGGTCGGGCTCAGGAGAAAGGCAGCATTAGAAGCCGGACGTAAATATGAAGACCTGGCTAGGGAGGTACGTTACGGAAGAAAATGAGATGAGGTCCTCCTGTTGTTGAAGTAGAGTTTGTACAAAAGTCGGGGTGGAAGCTGCATTACGGTGAGGGAGCCATCGGCTTCACCTGGGCCTTCGCTCGCTGAGTCAGCGCTGCCGCTTCAGGTCGGCTCAAGCTCGGCTGGCCGTCGGCTGCTGAACAATTGCAGCTCACTCATTTGACGTCAGCCGGGCAGGGCAGAGCAAAGAGATTCTTGCAATTGGTCTTGCAGCGCCTGCAGCGCCTGAAGCTCCCCGAAAGCGATACCTCACGCCACGATTCCAACAACCTGCATCACCCCAGCGCCTCCCCTCACGATATCCCATCTCCCACTGAACGCGAACGACGTCCAGAGTCAACATGATCTGCCGCCTCTGCCAACGCGCCCTGGCGCAGACGAAGCCCTCGCCGTCCCATATCCTCCGCGCCGCACCCTCGTTCCGCGCTCTCCCAACACTCTCCCAGTCGCAAGTCCTCCGCACCGCCCAAAGACAGCCCTTCTGCCTCGCGCCCCAGGCTCGTCACTACTCCCAAGCCAGCGCTGCCGCTGCCGCGCCGCCGGCACTCGAGAAGCCCGACTACCTCGATGAGGCCGAGGCCTGGATCTGGGACACGCTCGTAGCCGAGTTTGCGCCCCTCGAGCTCAACGTTCGCGACGTCTCCGGCGGATGCGGCTCCATGTACTCGATCGACATCACGTCGGCGCACTTCCGCGGCGCCAACATGCTCAAGCAGCAGAGGATGGTGAACAAGGCGCTGGGCGACAAGGTGAAGCAGTGGCACGGTGTGCAGCTGCGGACCAAGGCGCCGTAAGAGCCTGATGCTCGGAGGTCGGCGGTGGAGAGGAAATGTACGAAAAGTGTATACTGCGCGGCTGTCTATGGCTGGGGAACCTGTACAACAGAACATAAAACTGCACTGCTGGAGCGGAGCTCGGGGCCTGACTAGACGTAATCATGGCATGTGGCAGGCGAAAGGATGGATTGCAATCTGATCGATATGCAAAGCTAGAGGCAAATCGGTAAAGAAACGCTGCCAGCGACGAAACAAGAGGTGGTAGGGCTGCTGCTAAGCTAGATACACATAAACGAGAACGGTATGAAAGCTCAATACAATGCTCCCTTACACATTAGAATACAAACTACAGATTCAATACTCAAGCCAATCACCACCACCACCACGAGTTCCGGCGCCCTTTTCCCCACCAACAACCTCAAGTTAACTCACCACCAAAAAGAAAATCAAAAACATACAACATCAGGGATTCGCTGGTGGTCACCCACCCAACTACTAGTCCGACCCTTACTGGCTTATCTATGGGAGAGCGGACGGGATCCCGAGTTCTCCAGTAGGTATGGTCGTATGTGCTGGAAATAGAGGTTACCCAAACCCATGTCGTGATGTTGGAGACCATCTCGAGGCCATGTTAGACGTGTACCTGTCAATCAGCATCCGTACGACCCAATCTCTCAAGTCCCAGCTTCAAATTGAATATGCCACATCCGTCTCTATAACGACTCAATCAAGCTAGAATGAATACTGGTTGTTGTTGCATTTACGCACAAGTGGCTTCGAAGCGACAAAGTGAACGTTGGGCATCTCTCCCCAGGGCTAGAGGCGTTGATTGATCTGCTGCTTGCCCCTCATTCCAGTGGCGGCAAGTCTCGGCTCACGGCAGTGTCACAGGCAGCACCCGTTTTGGGGGGCCAAGGTACGAGCAAAAGCGAGAGGCATGGCATAATGGGGGTCCAGGAGAAGAGACACGAAGGACAAAAAAGACAGGCTACCTTACATGACAATGCAGTCTACGGTCGGCAAGCCACCATCTCACTGTACACATTCCCCGCCAAGTACGTCGTACCAGGTCATTGATCGTGGCCGATTCCAAGCGGTGGGTGATGCCCAAAACAGGTCATCCGTGCCCCTTCCAGCCAATGCGGGGGGTTGCCGTTCCCCGCCCCAAGATGCAAAAGCTGGGGAAGAAGGAACGTTCCGAGCTTCAAGGTCCCGTGCCTGCCACTGACGTTGCGTTGCGTTTTGTTCAAGGCAATGACCCCATTTCCAGTCTTTGTGCCCCGCGCGAATCCGCGCCCTGCGCCTTCCGTGTCGGATGTTTCATCGGACCTGCCCACCGGTCGTATAAGTTGGCCTGGCGCCCTTGGTTGATCGCATTCTTACTTTCCTTTCCCTCAATCCCCTACCTACAGGTTCTGGCTCTGCGTCACGATCTTCGAAAGTCCACCGAAGCGTCACCGAGTCCGTCCGTATTCAGTACAATTGGCCCTCTGAGAGAAAGCCCCCTCGTGCCAAGACATCAAGACATCAAGCCACCAGGCACATGCTTCACTTCCCTCACTCCCACCCCTGCTCGTTCTCTCAACCCCCACACCACGTTCCGTATCCGTAAGGTGCTGGCTGCCACGGCCGTATCGGACAACTTGAGCTATGCCCTTCCGACCTTTACCCCGCGGGTCCGTCCTGCGCAGCCTGCCAAGGCCCTCGCCAGCGGGCGCTGGGCAGAGTTTCGGCCGAGGGTCTATCAAGGGTGTATCGACCTCCGCCACCCGATCGACTTCACAATCTGGATCCCGTCACTTGGCACCTTCCTCCATACCCGCACCCCTACAGCGCGGCATCCTCATGGGGGAGGATAATACCAGGCGTTTTGCGGTCGAGCAGTTCAGGAACTATGCCTCGACAGCACCAGCCGCCATGTACACTGCTTCTTTTGCCTTCTTCGAAGCGCTCTGGGATGCAGGTGTCACACATTGTTTTGTAAACCTAGGCTCCGATCACCCAAGCATCATTGAAGCCATGGTGAAAGGCCAGCGCGAGAAAAAGGGCCGGTTCCCGCGTATGATTACCTGTCCCAATGAGGTAGGTCATCCATGCTGCCGCCATTCTAGTTAGCGCCGTGTCGCACTAACACGTGGTCAAGATGGTGGCCATGTCCATGGCCGACGGCTACGCCAGGCTGACGGGCAAACCTCAATGTGTTATTGTCCACGTTGATGTCGGAACCCAGGGCCTCGGCGCTGCTGTACACAACTCTTCCACGGGCCGAGCCCCAGTCTTTGTTTTCGCCGGTCTCTCTCCATTTACCTTGGAGGGCGAGCTCCGAGGCAGTCGGACCGAGTGTATGTGCGCCAATTTCCCCTGCAGATAACGTGGGATCGAGGCTGACAACGGCAAGATATCCATTGGATCCAGGATGTGCCCGATCAGAAGCAGATTCTCGCGCAGTACTGTCGCTACTCGGGCGAAGTCAAGACTGGCACTAATGTGAAACAAATGGTGAACCGCGCTCTGCAATTCTCCAAGTCGGACCCTCAGGGGCCAGTCTATCTCTGCGGCGCCAGGGAAGTCATGGAGGCTGAAATTGAGCCATATTCCATCCCGCAGGAAGAATGGGATCCAGTTGAGCTCGGCGGCCTGCCGTCAAAGGCCGTGGACAAGATTGCCGAAGCGCTGGCCGGCGCCAAGGAACCGCTAATCATCACTGGCTACGGCGGCAGGGATCACAAGTTCCCCAGCGCACTGGTTGAGCTGGCCAATGCAGTCAAGGGTCTGCGAGTTCTGGACACTGGCGGAAGCGACATGTGTTTCCCTGCAGACCATCCCGCATGGCTCGGCCTCAGGTTTGGATCCGACGAGGCAATCAAGACGGCCGATGTCATACTTGTCCTGAACTGCGACGTGCCCTGGGTCAACACGCTGTGTCACCCGCGCCAAGATGCGAGGGTTTTCCACGTTGACGTTGATCCGTTGAAACAGCAAATGCCTGTTTTCTACATCAAGGCCGAGTCGAGGTACCGCGCAGACAGCCTGGCCGCCGTTGGTCAGATCACAGATCAGCTCAAGTCAGACAAATTGGCGTCTTTGCTCAACACCAAGGAAGCCGAGACCCGTGGCATGCAGTTGCAGCAATCTTACGAGCGACGGCTAGCCACGATTCAGGCAAAGACGAAGCCCTCGGAAGATGGAGAGTTTGGCACTGGTCACCTCTGCCGAGAGCTACGCCGTCTCTGCCCTGACGACACCATTTGGGCGATCGAAGCGGTGACCAACACTGGCTTTGTGCATGACAACATTCAGCCAGTACACCCTGGGTCGTGGATCAACTGTGGTGGCGGCGGTCTAGGATGGTCTGGCGGAGGAGCGCTGGGCATTAAACTGGCGAGTGACGCTGAGAATGGCGGCAAGGGCAAGTTTGTGGTCCAGATTGTGGGCGACGGTACCTTCTTGTTCTCGGTCCCAGGAAGCGTCTACTGGATTGCGAAGCGGTACAACATTCCAATCTTGACCATCGTCTTGAACAACAAAGGTGAGTGCGATAAGGCTAGTGGGAGCCGAGATGCAGGTACTGACGCAGTGACAGGTTGGAACGCACCACGGCGGTCGCTTCTGCTCGTTCATCCCGACGGCGCTGGCGCTAAGGCATCGAATGAGGAGATCAACATTTCCTTTGACCCATCGCCTGACTATGCAGGCATTGCCAAGGCAGCGGCGGGTGGTGACCTGATGGCTGCGAGGGTGGGCCATGTGGAGGAACTCGAGGGCATGTTGAAGAAGGCGATTCAGACAGTCCAGGGAGGACAATCGGCTGTTCTCGACGTTAAGGTTACGAGTGGCTGTTGAGCGAACGAGCAGAAGCCGCAGGAGAGCGATGATTGTCACCATGCGAAGAGGGGCTTCGGGCCCAAATACTGCCGTACATGGATGCCGTTCATGAAGCGGACATTTTTTGTTTGCGCCTTTCTGAGTGTGGGCACACATGTGCATGCCATGTATATGTGTACATCAGGTACCTTAATGACGGGAACCTGGCGCCGCGCCGTTTCTGACCCATCGTGGAGCCAGCCCGAGGTGCGAGCCACGTCGACTCGCATCCGACGTGTCTAGACCCAGTCTGACAAGTCGTGTTCGAGGGACATCGTGACCTCGTGCGCAGACGACACGAGGAGGGGCAGGTCGAACCTGAGGACCAGGTTGAAAGCTGCACAGCTCGTGTCTGCAGTTCAAAGCCCCATCCATCTTGCTCACTGCTTCTGCCTTTTGAAATGGGTTCGAGACTGGCGGAGTAGGAGAAATGGTTGTGAGCTACGTTTTTCGCGAGCATTTGGGGGCCGACGAGAGAAACAGCCGCATGGACAATCGTCCGAAGTCAGAGGCTTGGTCCCTGTAGGTAGGGCCTGGCATGGCCCCTGTAGGCCTGATGTCCTTCTGAACCCTGGCGCCCCGCCATAACGTTCGGTGTCAAGCGACGTGGTTGCGTGGGCATGCACCAGTGGGAAAGCGCGCCATGGGAGAGGGGGCACGTTAGGGACATATTCGGAGCACTGCCGCTGTTCAATTCGGGGGAGTGGGGAGTGGAGAGTGGGGAGGGGAGGGGAGGGGAGGGGAGGCTCGTTGGAGCCGTTGGAGCTCGAGGAAAACGAGGAAACGAGGAAGGTCCAGGCAGGAAGGAGCAAAACGGTCACCGGGCCTTCTTTCCCTGCCAGCACGCCGTCGGCACCATTATCTTAGGCTGCTGGGAGGGGAGGCCGGGCAAATCACATTAAATAAGAGATTAGGGCCTCGGTCTTTCCCCTCTTCCATCTGAATCGGGTCTCGTCCTGCTGCTCTTTCTCCTATGAAACCAGCCAGCATCGCCAACTCTTCCTTCCACGTTCAACAGAGAGGCCCTCAACGATCCATCCCGACACGGGACGCCGCCATTGACCTGCCATCGTAGCGTTCGTTGCCCTGGGGGCACTTTGCATGCTACCTTTTACGACCCTTAGCTGGTGATCGACAGCATTCGCCACGCCTTTTGTTGTGGTTCCTGCATCTCACCAACCTGCCTTGCCTAGCTAGGTATTGAGCGGCGATACCGATATGGCGATCAGGCAAACGACCTAATCGGACCACACGACATTTCGATTGACAAGGGCGAAACCCGAACGGAGCTCTCTCTCTCTCTCTCTCTCTCTATTTTCGCAAATCGACGTTCTACGCCTAGCAACCACGCAGCTTCTGGTACCACAACGATCAGAGTAGCCAATCTATCGCAAACTAGGCATTGTCATCGGTGCCTGTTGAATGAATAGCCAGGCAGGCGACAACGTTTCGGTTATCAAAGGACCATTATTCGCGTATGCCGCCACCCCGCCCGCTCTCCCACCACACGCCAACCTTCATCCCCTCACACGTTTGCTCGGCTTGGTTCGAGACCTCGCCTCAAGGCCTTTTGCCAACGCCTCCCGGCTTGCATCTGCGCGGCACCTCTGCACTCGTGCACCTGTGCACCTGGCCTGCAGCGGCGTAACCGTCTGGTGCTCTTCCACCCACCGCCGTTGCCGATCAGTTCCCATCTGCGCATCTTTGCCACAGGCCCACCATCTTGTATGTGCACCTTGAGTTGAATTGCCTTTTTTTGAATGTCTGCCATGAGGGGGAAAATTGGGGGATCAACACAACCCCGAGAGAACTTGCAGCTGATCGTAGCCCCGCACAAGCTCGCTCGACCCACGGACAGCCGACTTCGTTCAAGCCGTGCCCCCCACCACGCCAGCCCTGGCATGCAAGACGGTCGAGACCAGCCTGCGAGAAGCCTGTAACCGCCGCAGGGACAACCACATACACCAAGAGCTCCACTGACCCGAGCCTTATCTTCTCACTACTACAGCATTTTTAACCACGCCATTAGCCGTTCTCTGCCATAAGAACGTTCCACTTCACACCATTATCCCCGGAAAACGTCGTCGCCTCTTCCTGCTCTTAGCAGCTGAGTTTGTCGCCATTGCAGCGTCTGACCCTATTTGCCACGCTTCTACGAGCCAGCGCATGTCTGAGCCATCCGGAATCACTTTTTCTGAACAACATCCCCGCAAACCAGACCGAGGCACGCGCACGAGACCGAAAGACGGCAGCCTGGCAAGCCTGAGCTGAGCTTAAGCTTGAGAACATGACCGCTGCCTCCCTCCGTGCCATCATCAACCATATCCACGAGCTTCCTTGGGCTCGTCTTCAGCCGCCAGCAAGCGCACCCGCAGGATAGATCCGCGCATCATGTCCTCCCACGGTGATGCGGTCCCGGAAGCATCGTGCGACTCTGGTTCGAGCGACGTCCCCGAGCTCCCCCCCCCGCCGAACCCTGCCTCCGATCCCAGTCTTCTGACGGGCGATCACGAGGAGCAAATGGAGCGGGGGGTCGCGAGGGACGAAGGAAGGAGGGAGAAGGAGGAGGGAGATGCGGTAGTAGGTGAGTGAGGGGGTGGGAGGGAGGAGAGAGTAGAGTAGAGGAAAGAGGAGGTGAGGGAGCAGAGATATTGTGCGAGGCGAATAGACAGTACTGCAGGGCGAGGGAGAAGAGATGAAGTGAGGATGGAGTAGAGGAGTAGGTCTGTAGGCGTACGCGTTGAAGCAAAGTGGAGTGGCACGAAGATGAAAGTGGAGGGATGGATGGCGGGGGATGGGTGCGACAGGGACGTAGAGAAGCATGGGGCTGCCCGTCTAGTCCGCTGAAGTGCATATTCAACGATGGTAAGGGAA